GGTGGTGTCGTGGTTACAAGTTGGGTCGCTAACCGAAAGGTCAGTAGTTCGGAACCACCAGCCACTCCACAGGAGAAAGATGAGGCTTTTTATTCTGGTAAAGAGTTATGGTACCGGAAACCCACAGAACCAGATCTACTCTGCCCTGTTGGGTCACTATGTCGGAGTTGACTCGATGGTAGTGAGGGTTGTTTTAGAATAATTTAGAATACAGACATTCCTTCTACAAATTATAAATACATACTAGCCCCCCCTTTCCCCACCAAGGAAACTCATGGCTGGATGAAATGGATGGATGGATGGATTCTGATAAGAGCTGTAAGAGCTCCCGATAAAATTATTTTTAAAAAAGGAATCCATATTGTGCGGATCCCATTTGTAAACACAACGGCGTTCGTCACCTATGGAGGCAGAAGTGGATGGGAGGTTGCCTGTGTGGACAATTCTCATGGTAGAATAAGCCAGCCTCTAACAACCGCGGGGTTCGTAGGCGCAACTGTATGGCGGTAACATATAACGATTATAGTAAGTCATAGAGAAGAAGAGAGAGAGGCAGGAGAGAAGATAAAATAAGGAGTCAGACACATTTCGTGGTAGCATCTTACCTTAGTCCCTCTTGCTGGGAGATGGGAGAAGAGATTGTTGTAGCCTACTGTCCGTTCCCAGGAAGAAAACAACCCAGACCGTCGACCAGTTCAAAAGAAAAAGTTTTATTACCTGCTCAGGGACTGTCAGCCCTCTTGAGAGGAGACTGAGCAGTGGCCTGTCTAGTTTTCCAAAGGATTTTATACTTTTGCAACGGGCAGGTGTGCAAGCAAGCAGAGTACAGAGGCAGGACATTGCGGTTAGCCCTTCTTAGTCGAACAATCACTGCTCTTAGTTCTTCCAAGCCTTCTGAACATACATTTCCTTCGGTACAGTCCGTTGCGCTTGTCAGCACAGCCTGCCTCCCTAATATCAGCTAGTTTATTTACAGTTGATAGCTAGATCATTTATAATTCATAATGGCTTCTGTCAGTTCAAAATGGCTTCACTCTTGTCAGGACTGTTTTAGCTTTTCCTAGAACTACAACAAGAGGAGCCTTGAATATATTCCTGACCAAGGATTATATACACTGAAGGGGCGTGCAAGCCCCCTTGATTATAGGTAACCACATATATAAGTTAACAGCAAGGGGTTGTACCATAGGCAATACAGTAATGGGAGACGATCTAGGGGTGCACACGTAATAGGAAGGGGAGGGGCTAGGGGTACGCATGTGACAAGATGGACAGATTCTAGATTCAAGATGGCAGTGTAACCTTGATCCTCCTTGAGCTGGCTTGATTTTGCCTCTGGGCTCTCCTTCAGGGAAATGATCACTATCCTTATCAGTAGACTGTGATGGTGGACAGATAGTAGTGTCTGACTGCTCTGGGTGGCTGATGCCCTCAGGGAGAACACCTCTAAGCAGCTGACTACACAGTGCTAGCAAACAGGTGACAACCTGGGGAAAAACCTTTCTGTATCCCACAATTCCCCCTTTTGTTTAGTGTATTAAATTCAAAAGAACTACAGGGTTCTAACACCGGCCAGGCTGGCACAATAAACCATCTCAAAGGGCAACATGGTTATTTTCTCTACATTGAAAACTGTGAAGGCAAAATTAATGAGAATGTTAATGTAGCCAAGCCAAAAATTTAAGCCTAGGGCAAACATTTTGAGTTCAGGCTTGGGGGGTAAAGTCACCCCCAGCCCATCTACTATTAGGGGAAGGTATAAAGAGGGGTTGGGTGCCATGGCGGGAGGAGATACCAAGAATGTCTGCTTCTACAGGGACAGAATCAACCACGGGCTCACTTGAAGGCAGCCTAGCTGTGAGGGGAGTGATATTGCACGCAGATAACGCAATTGGACTTTATCTCTAACTTACCAAAGTGGTGGCTTTCCTACCGTAGAAGACCAGCTTTCCAGACTCCCTGTTATGTTAGGGAATAGAGTCTTAGTCCTCTTTCCCTCAGGGTTCATTTCCCACTCTTAGGTTGGCCCCCAACTCAGTCCTGATATACAGCAGGCTGTAACTGCCCTGCCCCATCCTCCCGGTTATCTGCAAGCCCTTTGTTGCTGCCACTGTCAACCCAACTTGAGGATAGTTTGACTGACCTCCCATACCTCAGCAAGCATGGCACCCCTTTTTCCAGACTGGTCCTCTCCCGTCATCTCCAATGCAGGTGAGATGGTCTCCCCAAAGCCTGCCCCCTTGGGGACGTGTAGATGCTGGTCCAACAGGGTCCGCCTCTCCTCAGAGGTACCGTTCACCGGCACGGTCTGGAGTCAAGTCTAGTCAAGGCTCAGAAATCTACTGGGTGTTGAAGGGGCTAGAGTGAGAACATAGGCCAAGGGTGCCCAGTCCAGTGGTTTCCCCCAGAAACCTCCCCCTCACTGCCATCGAGTCAACAGATTCCTAGGGTCCCTGTAGGGCAGAGAACTCCTTAGGGTTTCAGAGAGGACTGCATTAGGGGAAGAGAGCCTCGGTCTTTTTCCTGTGGACGGGCGGGAACTGCTGCTCTTGCATTCAGCAGCCAAACACTTAACCCACAGAGCTATCAGGGGGCCACAGGAGAAAGGGCGATATGGTTGAACAACTTGGAAACTTTGCAGAGTTATATTCAGGCCCTCAGCCTTCTGACTCGGGGATCCCCCTGCCCCCTCTCGCCCCAGAACCGGGCAGAGATGGCAAGACAGGTGCTCACCAAGCCCTCAGTGGCCCTCTGCGCCAGGTGTGCTGGGGCCCACAGGTCCCCGGGGGCTTCGCTCTGAGGCAGCGCACAGTGTCTTCCCCAGACAGACCCAGGGCTGCCTGATCTTGGCTTCCGTGGGCTCAGGGTTAGCCGAAAGCCACAGGAAGCCCAGTGAGCATTCTGAAGTAGCCCAGGGTCAGCAGGCAGGATGTGGAGGGCAGCTTGGTGATGCCTTTCCTATCCTCAGTCACAGAAGGCTGCTGGGAGAGGCCAGCCCAGACCGTTCCTCTAGTTTTCCTGGAAACCATTCTAGCAAATTCAACTTGCATCTCAGTGGCCAGAACCTCACAAGGTTACTACCCGGCCCCCTAGGGGGTCTATCTACTCCAGAGATGCCTGGAGACAGGGGGAGGGGGAGGGAGAGGTGTGGGGGCACCTGGCATGGGCAGGCGGCCAGAAGTGTCGCGCTGGCTAAATCACAAGCCACCACCCAGAGCGGTTTATAATTGCGATTTATTTGAAGAAATATTACAACATATAAAAATTACATAAAGTCTCAGTTCCCACTCGGCACAGTGGTAGATAGAATGCATCATAAAAAACGTGTAAAACCCAGAGTGCAGAGCACTGCACGAGAGATGTGCGCACTACGTGGTTACGGAGAGTGGGCCTCACGGCCAGTCGGGCCACTGACACGGAGCACGACATACTGGGACCGACAGTTCGACAGGCGGAAGACACAGCATCAGTGCATGTTGGGGACTCCCGGCATCAGACACGCGGTGGGTGGAAGGGGCAGAGCTAGTCCTGGGTGTTCTCCTCCTTGACCTTAACTGCGGGGGGAGAAACGGCAGGGTCACCCCAGGGCAGGGGGGGATGCCACACATGACAGGCAGGTCTGACTGGGGCCCCGGGTGGCCCTGTGGGACCCTGCAGCAGTTTTGTGCTTACACTCGGGGAGACCGGCACCCCTCAAAAGGGGGCGCCCCAGAGCAGGGGTCAGTTGATCAGTTGTGGAGCAGGCGCCCACCAGCCAGTCCCGACCCCACACCTGCTGTGAGCCAGACTCTGCTCAGAGCACAACTCCCTCTGGCCAGGAGGCCCCCATCCGCACCCCTCCCAGCAGCACTCAGGCCCAGCCCTACCTTCGGGGCTCTCTTGAGCTTTGGCCAACATGCAGAGTTTGATCTCCCAGCCAATGGCTTTAGCCAGGGGTGGCGGCACGGCATTCCCGACCTGCAGGGGAAGGGGTGGAGGCTTGGTCTCAACTGCCAGGACCCAGCACCCGTGCCCCTCTTCCTAAGTAAGCAATGCTGTAGGGAGGACTGGGTCCTGAGGGAGGGCCCCAAGACCTCCAAAGCCACCCAGTCCTTCGGCCCACAGCCTACGTGCCGAGAACGACCCTTGGTGAAGGGGCCGTACAGAAACGCCAGGACACACAGAACTCCTGGCTTGGCTTGCGGGCCCCTTCCCGCGCTCAGGTGCACTGCGTCAGAACAGCTCTTGGGAGCCGGTCTTCACCTCAACCCCGCCAGTCAGTGATCAGGCAGACTCACCCGCTCCCTCCGCCAGGGGGTGGGGGCGGCAGGTCCCCCAGTGTGACCATCCTCACAGGGCACAAAGCAGCGAGGGTTGACCAGCCCTGGGTGCTCACTGGCCACTTGAACTGAGTGCGGGCCAGGCCCATAGCTGGGTTTCGGGTCCTCCCCATACCACTGTCCAGCCTGGGCACCTCCCGGTGAGGGCTGTCAGACACCCCCCCCCCCTCCAGGGCTGGGCCAGCCTCGCCCTGCTGACCTGCCGGTGCTTGTCCAGGATGTTGCCGAACAGGCGGTAGGCGTCGGGGAAGCCTTGGGAGCGGGCACACTCCCGCACGCTGACCACACGGTGCTGCTCGGGGTGCAGCACGCGGCCCTGCTTGCCCATGGGCTCAGGGTTGGTGACGGTGGTGCTGAAGAAGCCATCCCACTCGAGCCGCCCGTAGAGACCGGCCCAGTGGTTGTGCCTGTTCCCAGTGTGGGGCAAGCACCAGGGGATGAGCGTGTTGAACTGCCGGGGCGAGTCACAGGGGAAGGTCTTTCCTGCGGGGAACAAGCTTGGTCAGACTGAGGAGCCTGGGTTGGTGGGCGCTTGTCCGCCTCGCGCCCTGTGCGGGGCTGATAGCAGGGGCCACACCCAGACTCCGGGTTAGCCGGCAGCAGGCCCTGAGAGGCCCACCTTGTATGCAGGCGCAGACCCCTCGGATGGGCTTGGGCTTGTCACCCTCCATGATGAAGTAGCGGTTGTAACGCAGCTTCTTGGTCGTGGTGCCGTCCGACAGCCGCACCTCCATGTTGGGCAGGTCGCGCCAGTCCGAGCCTGGAGCCAGGGGGATGTGCCGCATGCGGGCAGCCACCAGGGCGCTCATGTCCTGAGGGGACGGGGGAGGGAGGCCAGGGTCAGCTTGCAGTTGCAGGTCTCTGGGAGCATCTACCAGGAAGCTGGCATCCAGTGGGAGGTGACACAATCAGGCAACAGCTGACACCCAGCTCTGAGGATGGTTACAAGGCAGGGTGGTGGGGGCAGTGGGCAGGGAGGGGTTCAGGGGGCAGGGGTAGGAGGACCTGGCACCCTTCCAGGAAGAGCAGGAACAGAGTGCAGCGGCCGTGGGTACCTTGCAGATGTGTTCTCGGAGGATGGGCTGGTAGCGCGTGCCTCGGAGCTGCCGCTGGAACCACGACTGGGGCTCCCCGTTGTAGGCGATCTCTAGCGCCGACGCGCCGTTGCGGATCTCAGGCAGGTCGGACATCGTGTCGCGCACGGTGATGGTGCGGTAGGGCCCCGAGCTCAGCCTGTGAACACAGCCCCAGCCCCGCGTCACTGTGGCCCTGGACCGCACACCTGAGAGGGGGCGAGCTCGGGACGGGGTGTGTGGTCAGGCGGCTGCAGCCAGTCTGGACTTATGTGTCTCGAGCGGGCAGATGCTGGGCCAGTGGCTTCTCTCCTGGGCTCAGGCCTCTGGGCAGGACGCCCGCAATGCATGCGGCGGAGGGGGCTCTCACCTTGTGATGTTGCTGACGTACTTCCTGTTGTCCACTACGACGCTCAGCTGGCAGGCCCTAGGCGCAAACACGTGCAGCGGCTCGGGGAACAACGGCAGCTTCTCGCCGGGGGCTGCAGCCAGAATGATGGCCCTTCTCCGTGTCTGCGCCACACCGTACTGGCCGGCCTGCACACCGAAAGCCGGACACATGTAGGCAGAAGGCCTCCTTGTAAAACCCCTACCTTCAGCAGCAGGGGGAAACCAAGCTAGAGTTTGTGGGGCCAGCCCACAGGAGGGTGGTTCTGGGCAGACTTGGGTGTGCTAGCCCAGTCCAACCTGGCAAGGCTGGGACCAGGAACCCTACCCATGGACCAGGCAGCCCATGGAGATGGGGGCTCGCACAAAACCTTGAGGCCACCAGCAGTGGTGGGTGCAGTTTGTGGCACCTACCCACCCCCAATCCTGACGAGATGGGGGCAACACTCAACAGGTGGGCAGTGCAAACCCTCACTGCCCTCAACGTCACTGTACCTTTGAGTGGAGGGGGACACGGGTCAACCCTCCACAATGGACTCTTTCGTTTCCCCAAATTCACAACCTTCTTTGCAGGCAAACCCGTCCCGGCAGCTCACCCACCTGCAGCACGCCGAACGTGCACTGATAGCCCATGCGGACCAGGCAGCGCAGGGTCAGCTTCAGGACCATGGAGCAGCTGAAGGAGACGAAGTTGCGCACGTTCTCCAGCAGGAAGAAGCGGGGGCGGTAGTAGTCACAGTAGCTGTGGGGGCAGGGACAGGCCGGCCGGTCAGCCTGGCAAGACGCAGCCGCTCGGGTGCCAGAGCCCCCATTGCCCCCTACCACCACACCCAACTCCCACACTCTCCCCACCAAACCAAGAACAGAGCCCCGATTTCCTCATGGTGTCGTGCCTCAGTGTGGGGCACGTAGCAGGGAACCCGATGGAGCAGCCACTGCCCACTGCCCGGCATGGCTGGACACTCTCAGGCTAGAGCCCGTCTATGTGCACGTGTCTCCCCGCTCTACCTGAGGAAGGAGACCACCAGTGAGTTCTTGAACTTGGAGTAAGTGCGAGAGTTGAAGCGGTTCATGCCACTGAACCCTTGGCAGGGCGGCCCGCCACACAGCAGCTCCACGTCTCCCTTCTGAGGCAGCCTCTGGCCGCAGGAGTTGGTCTTCTCCCCGGCCATGACCAGCTTCAGCAGGAGGTTGCAGTCCTCCATGAACACTGTGGACCCCGGGTTGTTCAGCCGGAAGGCCTGGGCAGCCGGTTCCCACATTTCAATGGCCCACAGTGTCTCCGACATGCCTGGAGGAGATAAAAACAGACACCTTTCCAGGCTCCCAAGCGAGACTTCCCAGGGCAGGACCTGCCCAAGCCACTTCTATGGGGCGGCCCCAGCCCCAGGCACTCACCTGCTTGGTGGAAGCCTTCCGACAAGCCCCCACAGCCCGAGAACACATCCAGAGTGCGCAGCTTCTGCACCTTGACCTCCACCTCGGGCTCAGCAGCCTCACTGGCCTGAGACCTTGTCCGGCCTTTTCCTGAGGAAACCATCTGCAGCTTAGACAAACCTCATGGTCCCACCCTTTCTTCAAATGCCCCGCCCAGGGCACCCTCATCCCAAGTTGCTGCTGATGGAGGGAGCGCCCCAGGAGGGCGGGGCGGGGCGGGGCATACCCTTGCCTTTTCCTTTCCCCTTCCCTTTGTTCCTGGAGTTCCGGGCATGGTTGGGCGGATCTTCAAAGCTCTTGTTCTTGGCATTGTAGGCCTGGGGAGGAGAAAACCCAGCGCCTGGCACAGAAGCCCACAGGGCCCCTCTCTAGGGCAGACTCCACAAAGCGTCATTAACAGCTCCCTGAGCAGGCCCAGCGCTATTGGCTGTCGTGAAGCGCAACGTGGCTTTGCTACACGAGAGAAACACAGTAAGGCCCCTGCACTAGTGCACGTGTGCTCTAAACCTCTTAGGACGGCACACACGCTCCGTAAGGGAACAGACTCGTCTGAGGCGGCCACAGCCACCAGGCCCAGACACAGGCCTGTGTTAAGATGTCTCAAACACGTACAAGCCAAGCCCGGGCAGAGGTGGCTCCTCACTTCCCGGGACCACCGTGCCTGGCCGTGCGGAAGGGACCAGCTTTCTTGATGAGCTGGTGGAGACCAGGCAAAGGGAAACGTTTAATTTGTGATACTTTCTACCACTGTCTTTTTGCAAGCAGAACGACTGGGTGGCCACGGGTGTGCCCCCACCCCCCATTGCACCTTCAAGGACTCCAGCGCCCTACCTCAAGGAAGTAGAAGCGGTCCGGGCCCCTGGAGGAGTACTCCTGGACACTCTCGGACAGGTCCTCCGCGTACTCCACGGTGCAGCGGCCCTGCACGATCTTGAAATCCACCACGACCTCCTCGTCGCTCCAGTAGAGCAGGTTGATGTCCGCGTGGTAGCTCGCCTGCGTGGACCTGTGCGTGTTCTCTGGCCTGGGAGGGGGGGAGCCTGCATGACTGCCCGTTCCCGCTGAGAGCTTCCAGATGGTCAGCTGCCAGGGCAAAGTAGCTCGCCAGCTCTTTCTCCCTGTATTCCTTTTCCACCAGAAGCTCCACTTAACCTGTCCTGCATTGGGGCCTGGACCTGTCCCATGTGGCAGGGCATCCTCCACAGGCACTCCTGGGGGAGCTCAGTGGGTAAGGGCCACCACCCTTACCAAGGCAGCTCTGTTGCTCGCCAGTCAAACACTGAATGCTGGGACATGCTTTGGCCTGGCTGCCCTTAGGCACCCCTGCCCACACCACCAGCCCTGCGGTGGGAACAGCGGCTAGCCACTCCCCCCGCCCCCTCAAGTCTTCTACTCCACGTGCACGAGGCTTATGCTTCGGGGCTCCAGGCCTCGCCAGGCTGAAAATGCCTCATTTTCTGTCCCATTATCAGACTTCAGGAAGTTCCCGAGACATGTTCAGTGAGCAGCAGAGAACACACTGATCCTGAGCCCAACAGTTACTTCTAATCCGCTCCTACCCACCACCAGTTACGAGGGGCCCAGAGGAACTGGAATGAGTTAGGTGGAGACCTTGGGGAAAGCAGACTGACAGCGAGGTGGGGGCAAGTGGGAGATACAAGATGTGGTGACTTGGGCATCCCCGTGGGGCCGCAGGAGGACCCAGCCTGGCTTCTCTGGGCGTCTTCAAGATAGAGAAAGGGCTCTGCAACTTGTAAGGCACCAGAAGACATGGGGGACCAAGTACTGAGTCCTTGGCACGTCCCCCAGATAACCTAGCTCTGGGAAAAGGGGGCAACCCTGGCCAAGACGATGCTCGCGTTGCTCAAGCATATGCCCCACCCCACCCCCAGTCAGCTCCGGCCTGGCCTCCCCCACCTGTAAAACTTGTTGATCTTGACCTTGATGTCTGTCTCATTGGGCTTGCCGTTGTTCTTCTTGGGACAGAAGATCTCTCTTATCCGGCCAATCCGGTAAGGCTCGGGGGCATCCAGGTTGCTGCCTTTGATGTAGTCAGAGGACTTCCGGTAGTACTCAGGGTACAGGTCATCCAACACGACCTCCACATCCTTCTTGGGCCGTTTCACTGGGCTGGAGAGCTTGATGCTGCAGAGACCCCACCATCAAGACCGCTGGACAGGACACCGCCACAAAGCCAGTGGGTCCGGCAGGGCGGGCCATCACCCCTGCAGCCACCATTAGCATCCGATCACCTTACAAACCAGTGTGGCTCAGGGCCGGAACAAAGGGCCCGATAAGACTGAGCCTGGTGCAGTGAGTGCTCGCCACCGGGGCACCACAGGTGAGGTGGTTCCCACGGCCCCCCTGGCCCACCTGCTACCCTTTTTGCCACGGGACTTGGCTGCCTTCTTGGCACTTGGCCGAGGAGGAGGGACAGCCACGCACTTCCTGGTGGCAGCTCTTCCTTGGCCCCTCCGGGGGCTTGCCTTCCCCTTCCGAGGTGCAGGCAAGTACCTTTGAAAAGGTGGTGTTCCATCAACCCTGGCCCCCCAGGGACCCAGGAAGCTGGGGTTCTCTGCACTGCCACAACAGGGATGGAGGGAAGACACACACACACACACACACACACACACACACACACAC